AAGTCAAATGTAGAGACAAAAATTAAAAACCAAGGACTATTTGAAGACTTTCATTGTTTTTTTAAATCTCCACCAATTTAATGCATTTATGAATTTTTACATGTGTATGTTATTAGAATGACGTGTATATGTAACCCTATAACCCAGGTGCTTTCATATGGTTGACTTTTTTTTTTTTTGTCAAATTTGCCTCTGATGAAGAAAAATGTTTTCATAAGTGCTTGGATTATATGTTTTTGTGTTGTTATCTTTAATTGATTTTTCTGAAATTGTGTATTTTCCTAACATCATGAATGTATATGAATGAATATATATTTTCTAACAAAAGCATTAAATGTTCAAAGTCTGCATTTACTTAAAATTTTGAAAATGGTACAGTGTAACATATTAAACCAAGAAAATCAGAAAGACACTGATATTAATTTTGTTCAACAAGTTTCATTATAATAATGTCTGAAAACAGTAGTTCAAGTTAAATGAGTGGAATGGTTTTCCAGAGAAATTGTGGGAGAATTTTAAATGGTTCTTCGTAACTTCAGTCTGAAGTAATTGTTATTTTACCTATAAGGAGGTAACGAATGTTATTAACTTTTATACTTACAATTTGAAATCCTACATCTAACCAATGGCGATTAAATTTTTTTTAATGTGTGTGTAGCACATTTTCATCTGTGATCTTTTATCACTCTTAACTCAGAAAATTTCTTCAGAGATTAACACTTATCATAAGAAACTTTTCAATGGAAGGCTAGTTATAATATTCTGTACAAGGCTGCTAGTGTGAGAGTCCATGAAACTGTTAAGCTTTTCACACTTATAACAAAGCAAGTAGAGTTTGATTATTTTCTTTGTCTATACATGTTTGCGAATTTTATTCGAAAAATCTAACTCAGAACATTACAGCCATTAAAGTGAAATAAAGCAGTATTGAAAGTGCTAGCTATAGTTTTGTATATATTTGCTGTGGGTGGTGTAACATATTAAAAAAATAATCTTTTACTGTTAAGAATACAATAACTTTTTTGTCAACTTGTAACTACAATATTTTAAAAAACATGCTTGAAGTTGTATTAAAGGTTTGTGTGAAAATACGTATGAAGCAAATATAGTCTAAACTTCAGTTTGAAATAGTTTGTCTGAATTTGTGATTTATGTATTAGTTTTATTTTCTGTGTGTTTCTTGATGATTTTATGCAGTTGTTAGTTTTTTATTTAGTGATGTAGACAAAGCATGGAGTCATTTCTGTTAAATTGGTTATTATTATTACTTTTGTAAAACTTTCTCAGCATTTTGAAGCTTTCTAGAACAATTGTGATATATAAATTTACAAAAGAAAAGTCATCTACAAAAAACTTCCCAAATGTTGTATTATATTTTCATTTTTTTGTTGGGAAAATTAGCTAATTTTACATATCTCTACTATTGTTACAATAAGCTAGAATATGTCTTTTTACCTAAGGGCACTCTTCATGTGTCCCCAACCAATTTTGTTTGAGGTACCTTGTAGACAAGATTATTTTTTAATAAAAATAGATATAATTTTATAGTTTTCTCTTCTAAAAAACTAATTACAGCCTTTTATATTTTTAGATGTAAAAACAATTTTTATTATGTCTTTGTCATATCTCAAGAAGCTACATACAGTAAAACAATTAACTCGGTTTGAATGTTTCACTCTATGTGAAGAAAGTACAGTAATGTTTTCTGCTCATTAGACAGTTTACTCTATTTGTGTTTCTGTGTAACCCCTTTAGCTTTCTTAACCAGTGTCGACCAGTAGCTGTAAGTATGGCTAATGCTGTGAAACATCTAACACGATTCATCACTAAGATGCCAAGCAATATAAATGATTCTGAGGTATGTTTAGAAAACAGAGATGGCAAATTAATTGATATAATTAATTTCATCAATTAGTGGTCATTTAAAGTAGTTGAGTAATCAAAATAATTAATATCATAAAAACAATTAACTAATGAAAATTGGTGCTTCCGATTATTACTGTTCTAGATTATTCTGACCCTCCAAGTAAACAAAATATTACCATTTTGGTTTTTATTATTAATTTATTATCATTATTATTAGCCTTAGTAACTTTGCTTACTTCTTTATATCATGCATATGTTCTACATAATTTATTAATGTAAGGATGTGGCATAGTGAGAGTTGGTTAAATAACTGGACACAGTGATGTCTGTTGTTCATGTTTACCTTGTTTGGGCTAAACAATAGTGAAGCTTTAACTTTACATATTGCTTATTTATATTATGCTCCAAAGATAACCAGTGTCACATTGCTTAGGGCATGCACCCAATAAAGCAGAGGGCTTGGAGGCCCATAGTCTTAAACCATTAAAAAAGTTTTGAAAAAATATATACTTGGAAAAGTCATATTTAGACAGCTGAATACTTATCTCTAATCTAAACTATCTTAAACAATGAGAATTACACCATTTTTTTTTATTCATTCATTTAGTGACCATTACAACACACATGGAAGACACTTACAACTTTGTCTCGCTCTTTTAATTACAAACCCTCTTTGTATAGCACACAAATCCAATCTATTCTTATGAAGAATAATATTGATGTAAGAGATGACATTGTTTTACATATTGCTTAATTTGATTATTTTTCATGTATTTTTTTATAATTACAGTTAAATATTATTGAAAAGAAGAATAATGTTGTTGATTTCTTGACAAAAATACAGAAGTTCTCTAAAAATAATTATTACCCAAAAAAATATTTTAGTATCATCTCGTATCCTTCAACTTGGTTTAATAAAAAAACAGCGGTTATTATAGAACTAGAGTTGGGCAGTTAGTGGAATTTGTTTAATGACTAATTGCTGGTCTTATTGATCAATTAAATTCAACTTACTGATTATTCTCACTAAAAAACAAAGTAATAATGGCAAAAACTTTTTGTCAAATGCTTTTAAAGATAATCTGATCATTTACATTATTTACTTTTTGGACCACACAGACACCATTTTTTGTTTTTAAAGTATGCTGTAAACCTCCATTGATCTGCATTTTGGTGTCACTGGTAACAGTAATAATGTTTTTATTTAAAACATTTACATTTACACTATTCACTTTTTGGACCACACAGACACCATTTTTTTGTTTTTAAAATATGCAGTAAACCTCCATTGATCTATATTTTAGTGACACTGGTAATGTAATAATGTTTTTATTTAAAACATGATTAACTGGCTACTTAATGATTACATAAATAAATTAGATAACTACAACCATGAAAAGTTATCAATGTACCTTGTTTGAATAACATAAAAACACAAATAAGAATAACATTCATAAATAAGGATTTCAGTCATTAGAACATCTTTTAGTCTCCTAATGTACTCACTAAAGCTTACTTGTCATCTAAGAAAATTTTTGTAGCCTTCAAACAGATATAATTGAACACACAAACACTTTCATTCCAACTAGAAACTTTCCCACCAAACCACTATATTTACTCCACTGTGATATGAAAAGCCTAATTCTTACTCTATCCAATCATATTTAAACTTTCTTTATATTTGTGTTTAAAGCTGTGTCTTTTGCAATTGCTAAATTGGCTGTGGTAAGGGTAGCTTCTTGGGGCTGAATCTACCCCAAAATGTGCCTTATCCTCCAATGTAGTCCCCACACTCAATGAACAGTGTTTAATGTTGAAGCTGGTTCAGTATTTTTGCCTACAATATGTAGAACCTAGCCTCAATTTTTTTGTATAGCTTCCCTTACTGGGAAGATGCTAGCTCTGTCCTTGAATGGGCTGAAAATGTTTTTTAAAAAATTGACCAATGTGTTGTTTACAAGCAAAACTCCGAGCTGTGAAGGAATTAAAATTTAAGCATTGTTTTCACTTAATGATTTTTGAATTAGAATTGACTTACAAATTTCTGGAAAAAAGATATTAAAAGCCAGAGGATTTCATTACATGAAAATGAATCATACACACAAAGTAGTACAGAATCTTTAACAACCTGTCTGGTGGGTTTCTCCCTCCAAATTTCCCCAAGACAACTGTACTAAAACTACTGAATATTTATTGATTCAAATAAACACACTACTTTGCAACATTTTCAAACAGCTTCTTCAATAAAGTTAATAAACGTTATTACCTTAAGAACCTCATAAATTAAAGGTTTTAAAAGCATGACTAGTTTCTGCCATAGGTTTACTTCAGAGATCGGTTTATTGAATTTCGTTCATTGTTATAAGTAGAATTATTTTTGAAAACATGCAAGCATATACGAGATATGACTAACAATACTGATAGAAAATTAAAATAAAGAAATATCAGAGCTCACTAGGTGAATTAGTTACTTTAAACATAAAAGAAATTATTGTAAATTCTTTCATTGATTTTTTTAAAATGTTTCTATCTATAGACATCAGTACTTGTTGGTCAAATTTCATGCATTCTTGAAAGTGTTTTGATGAAAATTTTATTTTTTTCTGACAGTGAAAGAAGAATTTGATAAACTGGCACCTAATATAAGCCTATGACTGAAATTATTGGTGTGTTTTTTAACATTTTAAGTTTGTTTAAATTATAAAGTTTATTAAATTGATATAAAAATTGTTCGAAAATATCCCTAAATACCCTTAGAGGAGCACTATGTTGGTTTAAATAATGTGATATTTCATGATATTAATTATAAGTCAGAGAAATCTATTATAATAACACTCAGTTTTTGTCTGTCCTGAAAATTTGTGCACACTTTACTATTTAAATGTGCATGTGTGCACACTTCATTTCAATAGATGTAAATATACTGTAGTAGGTATTTTGTATAACAACATATTAAAAGCTTATCAAAGTTTTTTAAAAAGGTCTAACATTAGGTCTTAGAATAACATTATAAGTTTGTTTAATGATAGTATTAAGTAAAGTTCCCCAAACTAAACTAATGCGAAAAACATACACAAGTTACAGTCTTGATTTATCTCTCTATTGCATAAAGGTCATACTTAATAAAGACTTAACTAATGTTAGGACTAAGAAATGTGGGCCTATATGTTTTGGTGGCTGCAATCAGAAGTCTTCTATAAAAACAGGACTTCTAAAATAATATAAAAAGTACTGTTGCAATAAAGCTACTAATTTGACTGCAAATGTTTTGCAGGTCATTGCCAGTACTAAATATAACAAACTAATGAGATCACTAGTAGGTGCTAATTAACATAAGTTACAAACACTTAGTTCTTGAGAACAATTTATGATTTTATAAAAACACAACTATACATAGGTGATTAATCACAAGGTGGTAAACACAAGATACACAACTATATTCAGGCAATCAAGCACATGGATACTTTAGTTACATCTCTTCTGTACAAAGAGAGTGAACTTCAAAGCATGCATCACTTTCACTTGTTAAAAATAGAAGAGAATGAGATTATCATGAATATAAAATTAGACAAGAATTGCTGTAGTATGATTAAATCAAAAAATGGGGAAAGTTGTACTACAAAAAATTTTAAATAATATCTATATGCCTGGGATGCCTTTCTTCTGATGATTTTAAACTTTGATGAAACAAAAAGTTTTATAACAGAAAATTATTAGACATAGGACATTCAAAATGAGCATCAAACAACAGATCTAAAGAAGCATACACATGAATCACTAGCAAATCAATATTATTTTAAAATTAGGATAGTATTATTATTATTATTATAAGTATAGATAATTATAAAAATATCGAACAAACATTTAACCAGTTTACACACCAATTTCAAACAGATCCTTTTTTGTTTTCAATGGTATAAGATTAGTCATTATTTTTCTAACACCCAATATACTAGTGTGAAGTGAGTCTACAGTTTATTATTTTGAATCAACAAAATGCCAATTCCACACATCTCTGATTCTCTGTCCTAATTACATGTTTATATATTTATCATTGTACAATATGCCAAAAACATATTTTGTTTATGATAACGTTGCTAGGAAAAATTAAGATAGGGTTTTTGTTTTGTTTTTTAGATTATCATACTCAATGCACACAATTGTCAAAATAGAGAACCTTTTTCGTGCATAACATTGAATAGGGTATGGTTCAAATACTTAAAGAAATTAAGCTAAAAAATGAATTAAACATAAGAGAATCTCTAGAAATTGCTAAACATAAAATGATTTTGAATAGAGATTTAGGCCCAGGTGCCACAGAAGTGAACTTTTGGAAATCCATTCTGTAGAGAGTACTGTACACATGCAAACTATACACATACATGTACTTGTATAAAAATGAAACTTCCTGTGTTTCTTTTGGTCTCCTGATGATGTTCGAATTTTTTCAACCAAAACTTGTAGAGTTTGAATAGTATATTTTTGCTTTTAAATTTGTACAATAAATTATTGTGCATTGTTAAATATTAGTGTTCTTATTTTATGAAATCTGTGTACAACAATGGTCATAGAATATAATGAACTTTTTCATGCATTCTATCAAATCAAGAATTAAGTTACTTTCAATTGTATGAGTTTCATATCTGTTCTTTTGGCAAATATACATTATTGTCCTTTCATTCTTATAGCATATTTACTTTCCACAAGTCCTACAGGTTATAGACTGAAAACCTTCTTTCTAATGCATAGTTGCTCAAATAGCAATTGTAGTTGATTTATATACACCATGCCAAATTATTTTCTTAATTTTTTGCCAATGACTTGGTGGATTACACCAACCACTTGACTCCAAAGTGACCATTGGAATTTCCATACTATAACAATTATTTAACATATTTTGATATCTTCACAAAAATTTTCAAGCTTTTAATAAAATCAGAATTTCTAATTAAGTATTTCTACTAAAATTTTGTCTGTGAATATGTGGAGTCAGAGTGCAAAGTGATTTTTCATGTTAAGATTAGAAATACTTTTCTTTTTCTGAAAATTTTCAAATTTCATGTGTGTTATCTCTAGAACCTTCTGAATAAATATCAAATGTTTTTAATGTTTATAACTTTATATTGTATCTGTTATTTTCTCTCCCGTAACTTTATACAGGGTTTGTCAATTTGTCTGACCTCGTAACCACCACAAAACTTTAAAAACATTGAAAAAAATGTGAAATAAATTGATTAGTACTGTTCTATCCTCTATAGTATTGAACACAAAGTCCCAAAGCACTTCCCTTGAGTGTTTCTACTTTTTACCTTTTCACATCTTTTTCCTATATTTATTTTACTGTTAGTGGCACAATTACCAGAACTTTCCTGCAAAGTTTCTCATAATCCTGGTTCTGAGAACACAGCGGGAGAGGATTTACTGGCTTGTTAATAGTACAGTGGTTCCAAAAAGAATTGTCTAAAGTACTAACAAGAAAATGTTAATGATATGGCCCTGTACAAAGTTCAGGCCAATCCACTAAATTTATTAGGTATATGGATGTTAGTTATTCTCCTGGAGTGGTTGGAATTTAGTGGTATAGGAGAAAGAAGTGCTTATGAACCTGTGTGTATATTAATACTATTCACTCATAAATGCTTAATTTAAATTTTTTTAAACATAACATAAATAAAAAATGTATAGAAAACAATGGTTTCTAGTATTTGCGATGTTTTGATTTGTACTCGCACATCATACATGGTATGCTTCACCATAAGCCTCATTTATTTTCTAAACTGGAGAGGGAAGACAATTTTTGTAGATTTCAAAGATGCATTTTAGAAAATCAAAAAAGTATTAAATTACTATACTGGTACACATAAAACCATAGTAATTTATTAGGTTTTCTAACTAAACTATATGTTGGTTTAAAAAAGTCTCATTTCTGTTCAGAGCAATGACTTATTCAATAGACATCAATATTTCCATTCAAATTACAATTGACTGTCAGATTTATGTAATTTTTAATGTACTCTTTCAATTGGTTTTAAATATGTACTTAAGAGAAGTAGTCAGTTAGGCTGCATATTTTGTTTGACCCACCATCATGCTCCAAGTTGGAAAAAAAATGACCTGGCTAACTAATGAGTGAATATTTGCTGTAAAATTCTTATCAATGCTATAATTGTAGCTACCAATTTGGCAGCCAATTTTCATTTTATTTCTATAATTTGCATGCTCAATCCTTTTATGGCCACACCATTTTTTCACACCTAAGGTGTTTATGATTAGATTACTTTAAAGAAATTTAGTAATAATGTATTAAAAACAGATGTCCCATTTCTTTGTAACAATGCTATACTCTTTTCTTTAACAACAATAGTTTTAAAGATGAATTACTTTTTCCATAACAATCCTCTATTTTTTCTCAACCTTACTGCCATTGATTGGTCATGCAGCATCCTTGCTGTACTGGTAAATATTTTTTAAAGGGTACATACAAAAGTAACATTCAATAGAAACACATTAATGTACTTTAACCCATGTTCTATATGAATAGGCATAGGCTGTTTGTTAATAAAAATGAAATCATGTGCATTAACCTCCCAGTCACAGTGACGTGTACATAAAAAACAAAAATAATTAACAATGGCAGGTCAAATGAGTGATCGTGCTGATTAACTGTTGTGTAATAAAAATAAATCTACTGTATGTAAACATATTGGTATTTGGAATATAACCATAATCAATATGTGTGTGTATAGTGTGAAGCAGTGCTAAATTTTAGTGGTGATACTACAAACATACAAAACTATCTAAAGAGAATTGCATAAAAGCACTAAGAACAATAACATTAACTGGATCACCTAATGACACTGTTGAAACAACAGTTACACCTTCTTCATCAATTACCAGGAGCAACACTACTGCAATTTTACCACTTGTATGACAATCACTGAAAATACAATCAAGTGTACAAGAGTCTTAAGCAGCTAAGTTAAGTGACATAAGGAGAACGTGAAACAGAAAAAGGTTATAGAGATATTAGTGAGATACATAGCTAAGGGTATGCATTTTTTTTCGAACTGTAATCTTGGTTGAGTCTAAATACCATTTGCTGCCAAGGAAAGAATTGAGAGGGAATCTTATCCCAACACTGTAGTTTAGCATAAAAGAAAAAGTGGTCATGGACCAACTTTCTAAGACAAATGATATGGTCATTACTTTTATGTGGCTGTTCATTTTATAAATCAGCATGGGTTTTGAAAAGCTATATCCTTTGAAAACATGGACTTTCTACTGCTGAACTTTAGCTCAGTCTAGAAAGCTGGAAAATCTAGAATAAGGTTGAAATAATTGTGTGAAAGCTGTCAGTAACATGGATTGATAATTAATACCATGCTTTGGCCATGTGCTAAAGCGGCTTTTAGAATTTGGAAATCAGTAGCAAAATCTAGGCTTATAAATGAATACTAAAATCATTAATGTTAGAAAATTTTGTCTTTGTTTTGAATGAAAACAAGTATGTTTTTTTTTTTTTAAATAAAAGGATGGCATGTTTCCAAGATTTGATATATCTTTTGAGGAAGCTGCTTACTTAACATTCATAAAAAAGTTTCTTAAAAAGTTGTTCTGTTAGGTAACCATTACCGTGAATTTTATTATTCGTCTTTTTTTTTGTTGTTGTTGTTGGTGTTGTTTTTTTTTAAATTATATCTTAAATGTTATATTTCTAATCTTCTGGAAGCATGATTTCTCACTGAATAAAATAATTCATTATATTATAAATGAATTAGATTGAAAATTTTGTCTAACTCTTTTATTAGCAGCTAAGTTTTACAGTGTCATTTTAATGTGTGTTTGAGTAATTTAAGAACTTGAATATTTTTTTTTTTCAGGCTAAACTACGATTATGTGAGCAAATAGACACCTTCATTAAAGAAGAGATTAAACTTGCAAAACAGGCTATTTCGCAAAATGCTGGTGAAAATATAAGAAACCATGATGTAGTTCTTACCTATACTTGGTGAGTAATAATTCTTTAAATATTTTCTCTCAAAAATAATCTTTTTTCTATTAGTTCACATGTAGCAGACTAAAGGTTTTTTTTAAAAAAAAGTTGTGTTTGCAAGGTTTTTCATTTAATCTTGGTTTTATTCCATTTTAAATACTTGGAGTAAAAGTTAGAAGCAATTATCTAACTGATTGATTCACATTTAACCTTTTCACTGGGACTGGAACAAATGTTTCTCATTGTCATTCACAATTATCGCTCGTGACTTATGGGAGTAAAATGAGTTGGAAAATGTTTATTGACATCCCACCTAATGTTGGTATATAGTTTCCCTCAATGTTTTCCACTCAGCCCTTCAGTAGCCAATAAGATGCCTAAGTGGAATGTATGACAACTGTGTGCTGACTGTGCCCACATCGCTACAGCAGTGAGTAGTAATCATAATTAGTATCTAAATATGCTTGATGTACTTGACTCAGATAGCTTAGAAGATAGTGAAAGTGAGTCAAGTGGTGTTCAAATGTGTGATGATGAAGAGACAATGAGACAAGAAGATGCTAGCTCTCCACCTAGTGATGATAGTCAAGAGGAAGGTGTAAATAGTGTTGATAATGAGAAACCTTTGTTCCAGTCACAGTGTGAGGGGGGGATGGAATGGGTTGTTTGTAAAAGAGGTATGTATTTTTGATATATTTCTAGGGTAGTGTGAATTTAAAACTGAAAATGGATTTATGAATGTGGAGAAGCACAGCATGATATGTGCAATTTAAGATATTATTAAGATTGGTTAGAGCAGTAATATATATATTTTTTTAACTGGATATTGGTTTATGGAAGAGATATTGGTATTCAAAACTTGTCCGTAGTTTAGCAAAAATAACTTAATCCTTTTTGTACCATAGATGTGTAAATAATACTTTCTTGATATTAGAATGGAAAACCTTGGATTAGCTTCTTCATAAAACCTTACTGCAGAAAATAATTGTTTTTCGTTCATTTTACATTTAAACATTTAGGTAACTCAGTTTTGTTTTTTTTTATTATTATTATTTTAAGTTTTCCTTTGCTGGTTAATATTTCTATTTTTGTTGTTTCTTAAAAGTTCCATTCTCTTTAATAAAAGTTTTGTAACTATATTAGTGATTCAAATCTACAATCTTTTTGTAGTTTTATGGCTTTCAAATAAACAATTTATTTTGTAATAACAAAGTGTAAAACTAAAACGTTTTAACTTTTCTTTCTTGCAGTTCTTCTTCAGTAAAGGGTGCATTGTGTGATGCATATGATGAGGGAAAAAATTTTAGAGTTGTAGTGGTTGATGCTCGACCTAGACTTGATGGTATGTTTAATTTTTTTTATATATATATGAAGAGTTTTATATATTTTAGTTATTAAAACTGTTTGTCCCCTTATAGCTGAAGCAATATTATTCTTTTTTGCTAAAGTTTTAGATATGAAAAATTTAATACTTAGATAATACTACAATCGAAAGTATTGGTCAAAGTGTTCAGTTCATGTATTAACTTTTTATGTTTTATTTAACTTCTAGCCTGTGAGTCAGGGAGACATGTTTAGTGAGTTGATTCTCAAATAAATCTTTTTGGTACTCTCTTTTGTATTAAATTCTCAATAGATATTTAAACCCCTTCCTATATCTGGAATCTGAATTGATTGCCACTGTGGACAAATTCACGCTAGTTTCCAAGCTCTGAAGGAGTAAAACCCATACTCCATACCAAAATCTCACACAAAGTATGTTATGAGTTGCACAAAACAAGATCTGGTTCCTCAGCTTTATAAAGCCATTTTTCTTCATGGGTTTCATGATATTTCATGACAGAGGTTCAATGAAGCTTATGGTGGCTCAGTGCATTACTTACCTAATTATGAACACTTCTGCTAATAAACAAAATTACGACACTTATGATATACAACATTGTTTATTGACA